TTAGGATTCAGCGCAAATTTATTTTAGATTTATACATTATTTGTCTGAAAATTTTTAATAGTCGCATTATAATGGAATAAAATTTTTTAATATTAACAAAATATAATTATGTTGATGAAATCGATAATTAACTTCGAATTTTGATGTGATAAAAATATTATGTTTACTCTTTGTGAAATCAATGAGTAATTAAATGCTCAAAGCGTTAAAATTAAAATTATATTTTTAAAGAATGGTAAAATAACGTGTCCTGTAAATGTTTTGTCAGCTGTTTCACAATCAGTTAACGAAAAATAACATTTTTACTTGTTTGGAAGCGCAAATCATTGAAAACTCTATAAATATTTGTCGAACCATCAGTTTGCAAAACGTAACAAGCATCAATGGCAACAGTATCTTTGAGCTTACATACGATTAAAAAATTTCAACGCACCAGGCGATCAATAAGACGATTACACTGTATGAAATAAAAAGTCCCTGTATATATAACTGTACCTTGAACAAGTGCTTCTTGTTGCTTCAGAGAGAAAAAAAATTTTCCGTTCCACAATTCACTTCGTAAGTGACCTTTAACATAAGCATACACATCTTTTCGTACCTAAACACAAATTTACACTCACTTTTGTACGGGGATGACAGCGGCTTCGATCTGTACAAGATGACGTGGTGGTAAAATTATTATTATTATTATTATTATTCTGAAATGCTTTTTCGACGGCAGTAATTAAATAACTCTATTTTCGTAATTTCTTATTGACACTTTGCTTTTTCTGACAATCGTAAAATTACACGCATTTCGGTAAAAGCTGTCATCCCTCCACACACAAGAAGTTGATAAATGTAAACCACCAGTAAAAAAAAATATTTAACGAAATTAGGAAGTTACAGAACTAGTATGTTAAACAGCGTAAACATGCGCATTTTAAAGGACACATCCATGGCTGGTGAATAATATGTAGAAACACAGCAAGAGAAACACCTAACCACGTATAAATTGTAAAAAAATTAACGCAGGTGAAATGTACAGTGCCATGCCGTAAAAAAAAAATATATTTGAAAATGAAGCGCACCACACCGTCGTTTGATACTTTGTTCATTATTCTTTTTTTTTTCATACACAAACAAGTTAGAACGCGCGCGGCAAGAGCCTCTTTAATAAATGGAAAAAAGCGCACCTCCAACATACAAAGAATGGTAATCAATAATAATAATAAATAATAATAATAATATTAATATTAATAATAACAACAAATACTACTGTAATAAATAAGCGTAACTTCATGTAAAACTTAACAATAAAACGTCATCAGTTTCTCAACAATGCACATCCTATTTTATAAAAAATAGGCCAACAATGTCCGCAAAATGCATTGCATAAAAAAAAAATTGTAAAGAGATAAACAGTCACATTGGAGAGATCGTCTTTACATTATGATTTTTTTTTTTCTATGCAATCATAGGCGAAGATGGATATTTAAGGTTTACAATGAAAGCTTGAGATGTTATTTTATGTGGAGAAAGAAAAAAAAAAAAAAAAAAAAAAAAAACATGTTTGCGTAATATTTTGTCGTTAATACCATAATATTTGCGTAATCGTAAGAAACCCGCGCAAAACGAGTTAGCAGTATGTGTCCTTTGAATTTTGGTGCTCGATGATTATAAATACGTACACGTTATATGCCGAAAAACGATTGTTATATTAAGTCATTATCATTGTCATTGACGATTATTTTTATTACTAGAGTATACGTAAATATAGATTTATTATTACTATTATTATCATTATGTTACTTTTGCATATCTTTTATTATAAAGTTTAAGAGACGAAGAAAAAAAAAAAAAACAAAGAAAACGACAATTACTGATTTGCACGATTCAACGCATATTTGTCATTGTCGCCTACGATAAGTCGGTCAATAAAGTGAGTGTATAAGAATTTGTGTTTGTTCTTTATTTTTCCTCATGTTTTCTGATATTTCTCGATCCGTTAGGCATAGAGAATTCGAGGCAAACTTAGACGAAGCCTCTCGGTATTATGTATAAATATTTATCATCGTTACATGTGATGAATGAAAAGTAAACGCTGTCAATGTGTAAAAGAACAGCGAAACTTGTAACTCACGCATCCACATGCACACATATACAAAAACGATAATAAAAAAATTAATAAATGCATATCAATGCTGTAGTTATATTTCAGTGTATCTGATGTTTTACATTTCCCAATATATTTTTGGTTTTCATGTATTTGTATTTTAATACTTAATTTATAAAAAATTTTACGTACACCATACAAAGATTGAAATGATTAAAGGAGGGAATGTTTTTATTAAAATAAAAAGATTTTCAGTATTTTGTCAAATTTATATAATTTTTATTACATTCAACTTGCGGTATACAAAAATTTGTAGTGCTCTATGCTCTTAGTAGATCTTACTTTGAAAAAGGCGGTCGACAATTTATTACTATAAAAGTTTCTGAGATTATTCTGGCAGGTGTGATGTACTGCTATATCCAACAAAACAGTCATCTTATGTCTAAGTAATTATACAGATATATAAACTAATTATCAAGTCAGGATGACACAGGGAGATAAAAATTATTTACCATAACGATTAATTTAATAAACGCTTTTTTTTTTTTTTTATGATTTTGTAGCATGATTCGTTAATACATAATTACGAAATTGAACGAAGTATTTAACTAATGAAACATTTAGTTACCTGGTAAGAATATATTTTTAGATGACAGTAATAAGAAATATTTTTATTCTTATTTATAGGTGTGTCAAAAAAACTAAATGCATTTTTACTTTATCGTTTAATAGAAATAGAATTCATATTTTTTTTTCAAATATTTAATTTAACTTATGTAAATATAACTTGAATAACTTATTACATTTAAATTTCAAGATTAAAGTTATTGTAGCGTTGTGCAGTTAAAAGTGAAAAGATTGAAAGGCAATCTGGAAGTATTGTTTGTTATATTTGGCATCGATTTTAAGTATGGATCGACAAGTTGAAAAAAAAAAAACAAAACAAATTACGTTCACTTTTCAAATGAAAAGTGACGAAGATGAATTCTACAATTTTTTCTAACGATAATTAAATTCTTGCGTCCTACTTAGAAACGACTTCATATAGCGTAAAATGCCTTTACTTATTAAGCTTAATTAGGAAAAATATTTTTTTTCTGTAAATATTAGTATTTCTTCTTAAATATTTATCTTCATTCAATTCACATAAGGCAGCAGCGTTCATCACTCCTAGGATCTCCCTGAAAATTGAAGAAAAAAACAAATTTTATCGTCAAAAAGATAAGTAAAGGTTATCTTTAATGTTAATATCGAAAACTTAGAATTTGAATGTTTTATGTGTAAAGTGAAATATATTACTGTGATTCATCAATGTTTTTTAATACTAATGTTAGCAACGAAGCAAATAAATGAAAAGACAGACAGCTCTGATTTGCTACAAAAAGTGATTGCAGTAATGAAATTAAGATAATAGAACAGAGAAACAAGATTACTATGACCCATTAGTTTCGAAATAGTTTTCCCAAAACTGAAAAATTGTTCTAAGGTTATATACACAAAGCAAGCAAGATATATATATTTTACTTACTGTGCCAGTATTTAGAGTTAAGTAAATTAAAAGTATAGAAGTATAGGTAAACATTAGAAGATAATTTGTAGTATCTGCGATAGCTAGATCAATTTGTGCTCAACTTACGTATACTTGCTCGTCAGAGCTGTGTGTCGTCGTACTTAAAAGAAGTTGAAGAAACTAGTTCTTCTCTATAGGAACAAAAGGTAATAGCGTCAATATACCAATCCCAAATTTGTTATATTAAATATTAATTCTAATGTGTGCACGCAATATAATCACAATGAAAAATTTGTATATTGTGGTGCAATAATTATTGTTATTCAATTTAAAGACTATCAATATTATACATATATAAATATATTTAAATATATATATACAATGATACATAAGTAGAATATTAGTTCAATTACAGTTCTAATTGCCGTAGAAATGAAAGTATAATGCGCACAGATTACCTGCTGATGATGAAGCTCTTCAGGTAATCTCAAGAAACTTTCCCTGTGTCGTGACACAGATGTGGACATTTGTTGTTTTTTTCGCTCAGAATTGGCCATTTCCTGAAAGAAACAGCAAAATTTTATTTATCATTGATTCAAAGTAAATTCGAATGTTTTCAAGGAAAGGAGGTGTATAGTGAAACAGGAAAGGAATTAGGTAAAAATCATAACTTGTGTTATCCATGGCATGCAACGGGACGTACAGTATATTGTACATACTTCTCCATCGTTGTTCAGCAACAAAGTGGTCATGTTATCGGCAACAAACCATTTCTGGCTCTTCATCACCAAATTGGTGGGTGGCTCGTGAGTCACGCCGATGTCAGATGACCAAACGGTGACACTTGCACCCGGCTCGAGCTTAGCCGTCCTATGGAATTTAAAGATGGTTTCCAAGTTTCCAGCTTTGCGAATCAATTGCCAACCGCTCAGAGATGTTTCCTAGATACAAAAAGTACAATAGCTGAGTTGGTGACTCCAGAATTGAAGTTGGTGTCAAAATAAATATACAACGTACTCAAAACTTTATTAAATACTTTTTACAGTTAAAACTCAATGCAAAAAAATAGCTTAATAAAATAAAGCATAATAAAACTTTCGCACAAAAGAAATAGTAAATATCAACGACTGGCGTGTTGACTCACTTTGCCACCCTTGTTTGTCAGTTTGACGAAGCGGCCTTGAGTCTCGGCCTCGGTAATCTCGACATCACCTCGTGCCGAGCCCGTGACACTGTAATCGCTGGTGGTACGCTCCTCGGACTCTTCCAGCAGGGTGCGCTTCCTCTTGTTACTACGCACCGGAGTAGCTCGGCTTGGGGTCTCTCGGCCAGACACGCTACTCTGCGACTGAGCGGGCGTTATGTTGAGCCTAGCCTCCTCGGTCTCAAGGAGCTTCCTGTAGGCCGCGATCTCGAGATCGAGGGCGACTCTGATGTCCATGAGGTCTTGGTACTCCTGGAGCTGATTCGCCATCTCCTCTCTCATGCGTGACAGCTCCTCCTCTAGAGCAGCCAGGCCCTCGGTGTGTTTTGCCCGCTCGGCTTCTCGCTGATTCTCCAGTTCACTGTTGAAAGATAATAACAAAGAAAGAAAAGTCAAAGCAACTAATCGCAACACGTATGGTAAACGAGAGACAAAAATAGGGTGTACCAACCGTATGCGAGCACTGAGCGCGTTGTTGGCCTTCTCAAGCTCGTTGATACGAGCGTTGCAGCTTTCGTTGCGGCTACGGGCCTGTCTGAGCTCCTCAACCGCCAGGGTAGCGGCACCGCTGTTGCGCTGCGCGTGCGACTTGAGGTTCTTGATCTCCTTCTCGTACATGAGCTCGATCTCCTCGCGGTTGACGCGCATCTGGGCCTCGTACTGGTCGCGCAGCTCCTGCAGCGACTGCTGCAGCTTCGCCTCATACTGCTCGGCCAGGCGCCCATCTATCTCTGAGATGTCCACCTGCAAGAACATCATCATTATCATCATCATCATTAGCCATGGTTGGATTGATAATCATTGAAATGTTATATGGATGTGGCAAAGGTAAAAAGAACAAACTCACTTGGCGTTTGGTGCGAGTCTCGGTGAGCTCTTGTTGGTAGACCTGGTCCTTGAAGCTGATGTCCTCCTTGAGGCTCTGAATATGGTTCTCGAGATCGATGCGCTGGAGGGTCTCCTCTTCCAGGTTCTTGCGCGCCTCGTCGAGCACCGCTGCGAGACGCTCGACCTCCTTCTCGAGTTCGCGCACGCGATCGGCCAGTTTCTTGCGCTCCGCTTGAGATTGATTGTACTGGGATTGCAGGTCATTGCAGCGGCCCTCGAACAGGGACGAATTGCGCTCGGCCACAGTCAGGTCCTTTGTTTTTTTTTCAAGCCTGCAATGTTACGAATTTCGCCGTTAAAATTTTTACCATCAGTTAATTTTATTTAAAAATACACAAGCTCTTGGAAAGAGAGAGAAAAAAAAAAAAAAAAAAAAAACGTCATTCGTCACGATTCACCGAAAATAAGTCAATGGCCCCAAGCAGCACAGCAAGGGCTCCCCTCCGGAATGATTTCCGAGCATCTGGCGCGACACGTGCGCCGAGTATACACCTACACCATGCACGGACTACGATATAACATACCGGGCCAAACCCGCTGTCATTCATTATTTTCCTCCTTCAACAACTTTCAAAATATATAATGCATCATTTTCCAATCCCTGGGATCGGTAACCCAATTTACCGATCGTCGCGAATTCATCAGCGCCAAACGATCGACAGACACGAAACCGTGAAAGTAAGAGCAGATCAATTGTCGAGTACAACACTTGGTAAGAGACGAGAAAGGGGCGACGCGAGCTCGTTAAAATGAGGAGAGGGCGAGTATGTAGACGGTCTTCCTCTCTCTTTCTCTCTCTCTCTGCTGATGTACAGTTGAATTGATCCGGGACTCGACAGCCATTGTTGCGAAGATACGAAGTAATTTTTTTAGTGTTGGGTGACAGATTTGAATTTACAGAGTTTTGTTACTGGTACCTGAGGATTGGAAAATTTCCAAGAGTTTTAACACCTATGACAATGAGCAGAGCAAAGATTCATGACGTTAAAAAGTTCAGCATTGTACAAATGACGTGGGCGTCCTAAAAAAACGTAATCAAGCGATACTAACTGTCTTACAGACCTTTAACTGTGAAAAAAACCTTTCGAGGGGGAAGGTGATGGATTAGATTCAACGATCGGTTGATTCGATGCACAATCAATGATCGTGCTCTAGCAGTCTATATTAATGAAGTCACCTTTTGAAAACCGGTTTAAAATCTTCCCAACATCAGGTCGCGGAAGTGAAAGTCGGATGTCAGGCCCTGCGAAGCTTTTTGATCGTTTGAGCCTGTGTATTTCCATCCTACTTCTCGTTTTATCTCTTTCATCTTCGTGGGTGTCGGGGGTAGCTACTTTTAGATTCTTGTTTTTTTTTGTTTTTTCATACCGATCTTTGTACACCAAAGTATAGAAAATATGGGCTAAGGTACTTATTTTCGCCCTAAATATCACGGAGTAAAAAGAAGAAGAAGAAGAAAAGCCTTCTTCGCGTAATTAACCCACGACATACAGCAACGGGTATAAAATGAGTAGACCCACACCATGTGATCTTTGTCACGCTGATGCGTGTAATTTTTCCTCTTAGCATCCAGCATCGAAAAGCGATAACAATTGTAAGTACCTGTGTTTTTATCGCCAATAACTAAACTCAATTCAGTCCATACGATGTTTTGCATAGTAGGTGCGTCTGACTCACGGCGTGTGTAATTTCGACGCGGCTGTGCCCATACATTTTACACTTTGCCCTACCTTCGCTTTCATTTGCAATTTTCAGGCCAATGCTAATGCTCGTTTTACTTCCCTACCTGCAGGGGAGGTACGTCGTTTGTTTCCACTGGGTTATGCTTTGCGGGGGTCAAAGGGTTCGTGTTGCTGTATATGCATATATATATATATATATATATAATAAAACTTTCGCACAAAAGAAATAGTAAATATCAACGACTGGCGTGTTGATGGGTGCTCGATGATTATAAATACGTACACGTTATATGCCGAAAAACGATTGTTATATTAAGTCATTATCATTGTCATTGACGATTATTTTTATTACTAGAGTATACGTAAATATAGATTTATTATTACTATTATTATCATTATGTTACTTTTGCATATCTTTTATTATAAAGTTTAAGAGACGAAGAAAAAANTATATATAGGGCATGATAGAATTTGTTGTTTCAACCAAGAACATAGGATGGCACGCCAAGGTGTAGAAAAAAAAATTGGGATCTAAGGTTTGCCACCCGATTGCCGATCTTTTTAATACGAGCGAAATCGGTATGCATCCCTCGATTAAAAAGAAATCTTTTTTTCCCCTCGAACGATGAAGAAAATGATGAAGCGAGTAACGGGTTATCGTTGAAATAACCAGCGCACTATATGAATAAATTAAAAAAATACTACCGAAACGTATGAACAAAAAATTGTTAAATAGCCACACGCGCGCTTCATCATCCTTACAATCCATGTTATACAGAAAAAAAATTCCAGACACGTGTACATTTTTCCCCACCTCCTGTAATATTTTGCACACACCGAGGGATACCTCAAGACATACATATATACACGTCTACATCGCCTCTAAAATGCATCGGTATATCCTTGGCCTACTATGACAGCAACACCAATATTCTCGAGACCGTACGTCACCGCCAGCAAAGATTTCAGCCGATCACGAAGGAAAACCAACGGTTTTCCATACATCACGGATGGATATCGTTGCGTGATCGACAGCCATTCGCCGAGTGAGTCTAATCTACGGCCAAGACGCATCGCGATCATAATATAGCTGGACGGTCAGGGGGTGCGTATACGACCGAGCGTCTGGGCGTTCTATTTTAACCCGCGACTTTCGACCCACATAGAGAATTTTATTTCACGTGCCACGCGTATGTGCTTACTTGAACCCGCGTCACTCCCTAAACTCCCCCCTGGACAGGACACCCCGTACGTAGATATTCCCCTGGGGAGGGGGACTTGGTCATTGCAGTATATTACAAACTGTCGTTAGGCTCGTCGTTATAGAAAATAAAAACATATATGGATACCCATCGATGGGGAAAAGGTTACAACATTGGTAGTCGTATCGATTACCGCGGTGCGTTTGCCCCTACTGGGGCTCTATCACGACCTTGGATATCTCGTAAAAGTCAGTGTTTTTTTCGTTAATTCTTATACTGCGCGTGCGCACAACCATAATTTTATGTAAATTATCGAAAAAAATACTGACTTTTGCGAGATATCGAAAGTCGTGATAGAGCCCCAGGTGTGCGAAGCCCAAAGCGATTTTAAACCCTCGGGTAAGTGTATACAAGTAAATGCAAGGTAAAGTAGGTATAGTTAGTTCACGAGGTTCTGGCGTTTGATATTCGCAAACCTATCTCTCTGTGTGTTGTTGGGAAAATTTTTCACGGTCACGGAGTCGAGACTTTTAAAGGGCAGGTGGTGGTCGTTTTCGTCGTTATACTCCAATAGGGGCTTTACGAGTCTTTTCAGCACTGGTCGATCATACACTTTTTTTTTTTCTTCAAAAAGTAAATCAACATCACCTACGCGGTGTGCGGAAGATTAAACAAAGCTGTCTAGTGTGTACCATGCCACCTTTTATCACGCGAGCGACCTCGGAGTTTTTTCTTTCTCTGTATATTAAATTCCTTTCCGTCGAAAGACATCTCGTCAGCTCTAAAAATATCATCCGACGTACGTTTAAATTAAACCTCTTTTCTCCTCAAATTGCGCTCTGCTAGACAAACCAATTATCAACAGTCGAGTCGACTGGTTTTTTTTGTTGTTTCGAAATACCTATATATGCGTTATAACGCATCGTTGCTATTACTTTTCTACGTGTGATTAATTATATTGTTGCAGTCAATTAAACGTGATCGTGGAAATGTATTTGCACGCGACAGGTACGAATCTACAGAAACAATTACTCAACTACGAAAATTAAAAAGATAAGGGAATCCATTATGTTCCGTGTAATGAACTTTGGCAGAATGAAAGGGGAAATCGACACGTTAGCGTCCGTCGGAATATAGTTATAGATACAATATACAATATACACTTCGTAACGGGTTCTCCACTCTACCATACATGTGTATATTATGAAAGTAGCAGATGGCAAAATCATGCACCATCGCAAAAAAAACCGTTCTTTAGAGAAAAAAATGTTACCAATTGTGTGATAGGTTTTTTGTTGTACATATATGGTAAACAAATAAAAATAAATAAATGAATGTAACGAACGTTTTTTTTTTCGTCAAAAACAAATTGGGAAAATGTATTCAAACAGCAGCAATCGAGAGTCAAGATCTGCGAATAAGAAGAACAGGAGGACAGGAAGAAAGGAGCGACTCAGCAGGGGATATACGTTGTTCTGCACACACACACACACACAGCCACACTCACACGCCAGATCGTAAAGGTCTGAAAGTATACGCCAGGGAATACCGAACCGTTAGCCAAATATAATATATAAGCAAAACAGTGTAATGCGAGTCATACGGTAAAACCATGAGCTTTTGGTCTCTGGTTCTCGAGTGCAAATCCAACAAATTTGCCGAAGCATCGGTCATATTTAAATCAAATGGTAAAGTGGAGGAGAGGGAATAGGCAACTTCGTACTTTTCTTTTGGGAAAGTCGATGGTTGAGGCTGCGCGTGCTTCAAGTGTGGCCCCTTACTTGTACAGCGATGACTCGTCCAACACGTGTACCGAAATTTCAAGGGCTCTTCCCGAGTATCGACAAAAGTATGTTATTGGCCATGAGAATTCATTATAATCATTTTTATCGGATGTCAGTACCGTATTTTGTCATTGTTATTTCAGTGCAAAACTTATTTCAGCCACTTTTGGTGAGAATTCGACAATGACATACTCATTGGGAGAAATTTCAAAAATAACTCTGCCATATTTTTCTCTTCAGGTAATCCGCTACCGATGATACATCCATGTAGTGATTAAAATTTGACTGAAAGTTGGTACAATCAAGGAAACGTTGGACATTTGGCTTTTGTATATTTCACAATTACATTCAACGCCTCATACTTTGAGCTACACTAGCCACGTGTCTATCACAAGTTTTCAGTAATTACCATTTAATGAGCACCGATACTGATAAACTAAAAATTTGTTTTCTCATCGACCAATTCGACATCCATAGCTGAATCGAACTATTTAATCACTGAGTTCTTTCTTTAAAGCTTCAACGATGGTATACTTTTCAAAAGTGTTGAATTCAATTAACAAAAATTCAATACATAAAAACGAATATCACGTGGAATCATCCTGATGGATGAAAACCCTATGCCAACAATAAACGAGTTTATTACACGAACGCCGCAATTTTTAAAAGATAAAAATGAGCCTGGAAGAAGAAAAAAAAAATACTTATACAGAAACAAGTTAAAAGCTAACGAAGAAGTGTGGGCATTACATACACGCATACACATCGTTCCACAAGGGCGGTGGCCGCGTGCATGGAGTTCCCCTTCTTTCATAAACCTGACGTCAGCTCACGTTTTAGGCCCACCCTACCTCTCTCTCTTTTTTCTATCCGCCTATGCTTAATTTTTTCGCCATCTCCGCATATTAGTTGGCCCCGGTGTGTATTTAATTAAGCTGCAGAGAAAGGACTGCCTCTGGTCTTTTTTTTTTCTTTTTTTTCTTCAAAATCGAAATGTCTTGCATAATCGTTGCAAAATATGTTACAATGCGTGATTTCGGCGGGCCATTTTTTTTTTATTTCTGTCGCCGGAGAGAAATAATAGCTGCATTTTTTGGAGGCCGTTTTTTAGCCGATGCGATTTGCTGTTCACGACGACCGAGGAGGTAAAATTATTGTTCGACTGGGTATTTTGCGTTTATCTTCTTCTGCTGAAATTGTAGTGCGCGCGTCGGTAAAACTGGATAGTTATCGTCGTTGGAAAGGTAATAATATTACCTTTTAATTAATTATTGTTGAAAATTCTTTCAAGGAAACACGGAGTCAGTTGGTTTTCCAATTGATACGAATTCGTATGAGCAACGGGTGAAAAAACATTATGTCCACGTTGGCCTCATTAATCATTTGTAGAAACAGTTGCTCAATCACAGTTGAAGATGGAACACTCTGACGTGAAAATGAGTTATCCAAGTGCCACGGAACAGTAACAAAAACAGATTTTAAAGTCACGAGCTGCGATGCGCTCAGACCTGAAGTATGTACGATAACAAACAAAGAAACTAAAAAAAGTTGCTAGAAAACCTGATAAATGTACGATAATTATTCTTTACACGAATAACAATTAAAGTATCAGTCGAAATTAAAGTTTTTTTTTTTTTTTTTTTTTTTTTTAACTCGACGTAAAAGTAAAGGGGCATTGAAACAAATTTTATTGATTAAAGAAATGTTTATTTATTTGCTATAAATGAATCATGATACCCTTCATAAATGTGTAACAATTCCCAGGACAAGTATTTTACGTGCATTCATGGAAATATTACGTCTCCCGATGTGCGAGCGCATGTTCAGTAGATAAGCGTGCTTAAGGTGACTCGAAATTTCAAAGCAAAATCGAAAAGGAGGTCATTTTTTTACTGCCGGATTCCAACTGTTTTTTGTTGGAAAAAGTCTGTCTGTGTGGATGAGACATTTTATAAGGATAACCCAGACCTGAGAAAAATATATAATTGAAGATTTCAGCGGATAATTAGTAAAATTCCTTAATTTGCTTGTTAAAGTCAATCATGCTTAGTAATCAGTTCAGTGGATTTGTGATTGAATCCAAGTTTTTTTAGAATAATCCTTTTTTTTTCCTTGAGATAACCTTGAGTAAATCAAACATATCGGAACATTTCAAAAGTAAAACCACGTTTGTTGTTTACCTATACTCCATCCAAAGACAACCTTCGTCCATCGCCAAGTTTGCAGACTATAAATGGCCACGTGTACTTACGCGCGTATCCGAGCAAGGCAAACAAACACTTGTCAACGTGCATTAGTAAAAAAAGGGGATCCAAAATTGTGGGACACGCAGTTCTGTGAAGAGACATTATTCATAGTTAATCTTTTAATAAACGTTACGAATCGATAAAAGTGAGGAGATACGCGGAGGAATCGAAACGGATGTATTATCGGTGGTGAAGCTGTTAAACTGCTTCAAAGGAATCATCACAACAATGTAAATTAATAAATTGACGTTCGCGCGTTGTCAATTGACAGTTTTCTTTTATTGTTTTGTTGTAAAAGAAATGAGCCATTTATCATCCTACCGATACCCAAGTACTTATCTGTATTTCCGAATTAGGTTTTATCCCACTCATGATATTTTTAAAGATAGACTAACGGATCTATAGTAGTTAGTGTTGCCGATTTTTTTTTCAAAATCACAGATCTGCCATTAAAAAAAAACCCCAAATTCTCCGATAAGTTTGTAGATCGGCAACGCGTACAAGCTCGACGTGCGTGCCAGTAAAAATAGCCTTGTGCCGTATCGAGGAGATTCTCTATACACGAACACGTAGAGAGAAAGAGCACCCGGTAAAAGCTCACGGGGACACCATCACGGCTAAGGCGTCGTCTCTTGAGCTAACCGGCAAAACTCCCTTTCTTCTCCGAGGAGTCAATGTTTTTAGGTCAGGCGGTGGCTCTCGCGTTCCTTGGGGTACAACATCACGTCACGTTCATATACACACACGCGTGTTTTCCCCGGCAAACGAATTTATAATACGTGCGTGCACGTATACGTGTGCATGTTGACATCATCGCCGCATAGTGGGCCGTGACGCAATCCTCGCCGGCAACGTCATAATTTTTTTTGTAGTACACTTTCTTTTCACATTAACAATTGTACTCAAGTATTACACCTTCATCTTTCCCTTGGATTGGGACCAATTTTTTTATGTTTGTCAATAGTACTTACTCGACCACAAACTTCAAAGAGATGAAAATATTGGCTTTCACGACGGACGATTGATTTTATTCGAAGCAGAAGAGAGGGACATGTATCAATAATAAAGTGGAGATGTAGATGGATTTTGTTACCAGACAAACGAGTTTTTGTTGGGGAGTTTTAAGTATCTAGGTGCTCTTGCGGTTCGATGGATTTTACTGGCAAGAGTAGATGATCTTGAAACATCGAATACTCGATTTTGTTTATTACATGTAGTTCTCGTTGGTTAAAATTTAATTGTTATTGTGTCTACATTGAGACAATGCAAAGGCACATTTAGAGTACCTTAAGGAGATATTTTTTTAGTACAAAAATAGCATTGACATCCAAGCACTGTCATGTTTATTTATTCCTTTCATTAGTGTGAGTGAGAATAATGTCGATAAATTATTTTTTCTTGACTTTTTCAGTCAAGATTAATGGCTTGGAATCGTGTTGCAAACTGGTATTGTTTTCACAATAATTTAGACTTCTAATGATTTTGGAAACAATCATAATGAAAATTCAAATTCATACTGCATTGATATTCAATATTTATCTGAATCTCTGCACTGTAAGAATCAAATGATTAAAAAACAAATACTAAAATTTCGATACAACATGGGTAGAAATGTGTTATATGCAAACAAAATAATTCAACGTTATTATCTTTAAAATAAGGTTGAGAAAACTGGAGATACCGCTTGTCCATGAAACAACCAAGCGTATGTTTCTACTAAACAATTGTGTGTAAATCAGTTCCATCATATAATCATTAATTTATTTAGAGGACTAAAATTCAGGAGAACAAACAGACTCACATAATACACTAATAACGTTAATAATTGGGCAAATGATGCTCTAAGCATTTTCACGGGATAGTAATCCTGCTCAAGAAAACACTGGCCTGAAGGATGGAAAAACTAAAATCTAGAAGATAAAAACGTTAACGTACTTGTTCTTGAGATCTTCGTTGTCGTCCCAGAGCCTCTTGGTGTCAATCTCAAGCTTAGCGCGCTCGCGCGCGGTCTCGTCAAGGAGTTTCCTGGCATCTGAGAGCTCATGCTCGTACATCGACTTGATGTTTGAGACCTCGCGGGTGGTGGTCTCCTGGTGGCTCTGCACTTCCCTGGTGAGCCTTGAGTTCTCGGACTCGAGGTGACGCACCTTGTCGATGTAGCAGGCGAGTCGGTCGTTGAGGTTCTGCAGGTCATGCTTCTCCTGGAGTCGAGAGTAACGGGTCGGGCTGAGCGGACTGCCTGGCCGGGATGCTCGGGTGGAGGTGCCGCCGGTATTGCCCGGCGTCGGAGTCGAGGTTGTTGGGAGCTGGACGTTAAAGCCGGCTCCTCCCGTCGAAGTCGAGGAGCTCGCGGCTTTTTTGCTCGCTTTTGTCGCCATTCTGCTCTAGACGATGATGATGTAGGATCTATTAATCAAACGATAAAAATCACTGCCTGTTTGAGCACGCACAAGCACACACCACCGCTTGAGAGGTTATAGACGACCAACTGGTCACTCTCTACTCTATACGCGCGTCTGTTGCTCCGGATTACCTTTATATATTTGTTGGTGTGAAAGGTATGATATGATGCGGATGCACAAGTGTGTAGGGGGCCTATACTATATCTTGTGGGATTGCAGAATGCAGACCCTCTCTCACGCTTTTCGGGCGCGTCTTTTTTGTTTTATTTTTTCCGACTCTTGGACACTAAGCAGAAGAGAGTACACATACGTGACCGATACCTTGACCCATGCACGGCACGACACGTGAGAATATCGACTCCTACCTCTAGGCAGTCTAGGCACTATCTTGAAACTCAAAATTACACTCACGAGAAAGTAACACACGTTAAAGTTTAAATACGGTGCACAACGATGAGTTGACCAGAGTATATACTTACTCGTAGTGGCGCCGACAAATGTCTGCGCTGTCTGCAGTTTCGCAGTGCGTTTGTAGCCCGGTCACGACATCTACACAAAAACAAGTATGAGTGCACAAAAACACGTATAGACGTATACGATTGTACGAGTGCGCATGAAAGCGCGCACACAACAAGTTGCAAAGCAGACGGTTTCTATTTCATTTACTTAAGTACAACTTGTAATTGTTACATCGTTACGTGGGAAAGAGATTTGTTTATATATATATATAACTTTATACATATATTTACTTTGGATTTTATCATTCTGGTAAAGAGAGCACGGTGTAAGATATATGATCGATTTTATTAAACCGTATGAATTTCTATATTTTTGGAGGTCGACTTTTGGGTTAAAAATAGATTGTAAACTTGCCGCAAACAGCACAGACCACGTCAAATTTTTATTATCTATCTACCAAATTAGTTGCGGTTGGTTTATAATTACTTAAATGGCTCTACTATAAGTAGTAATAATTATTTGGATCATTGCCATCTAGCGTTGCGAATTTCTGAACTAAAAAGTGGCCCTAAACTTTTGAACCAGAGCTTTAGCGCGTAGAGACATTTAGTCAATTATAAACCAGCCGCAACTTATGATGAAGCTATAAAATGAAAAAATAACGATACGTGTGTTTTTGGCGGCAAGTTAACAATCTATTTTCTACCAAAAATCGACCTCCTATGTATTTATACTTTTGAAGATAAATTTTCGAGCATAAGATAAATTGTTAACTTACCGCCAAAAACACATGTATCGTTATTTTTTTATTCTATAGCTTTACCATGAGTTGCGGCTGGTTTATAATTGACTAAATGGCCCTAATCCTGATTGCTCTGATTCAGAATTTTAGGAGCCACTTTTCGCGAAAAAATGAAGACAGCTAGATGGCGCTGATCTAAATCAATACTTACACAGCTTACAGTAGAGCCACCTTGTACATGGCGATATGTAAAAATTACAAAAGCCAATAAAATATATTTAAAACAGTAGAGTTCATTATCTTCACGTATATCTTATACCGTGCTCTCTTTACCAGAATGATAAAATCCGAAGTAAATATATGTATATTTTTTTTTTGAACAAATCTCTTTCCCACATAAGGGTGAGATGGGGTGAGATTAGCTGGTCACGTTTTGACGCACTTTGAGCGCTTTTCAAGTCCTCTCTTTAACCTTAAAAGCGCTTAAAGTGCGCCAAAACGTGATCAGCTGATTAACTATATTCTTTACATGTGCGAACCACGAAATAATTCGTGATGCGTGCCATCGTGCACTCGTACGTAGGTATTTTTGTGCAATTTTCTGCGTTTTTACGTAGGGTCTACCAGAGCTGATCCAATGGACCTTTCGCTGCGGACACTGGCGTGATAAGTTTTCCTATTAAATTCATAGAATGTGAGCAGAGGGTCTAGCGGAGCCGATCCAATCGACCCTCCGCTGCGGATACTGGCGTGATAAGTTTACCTATATTCACTTTCTAAAATGTGAGCGTAGGGTCTACCGGAGCCGCTCTAATAAATCCTATACAAGCAATTCACTTGTAAAAATTCTCCGCTAAAAGTGTATTTTCACCAAATTTCGATGTTTAATGCATGCGTACAGAAATATATGACTCGAAGACCGACGGCCGATAAGTTTTTTATTGAATAGTTCTGTTATACCGACTACGATGTGAATACCTTCTATACCGAATGGGCAATATCGGTAACGAATTAGAAATAGGTATCTGTTGTACCGATCACCGTTAATATCATCGGCCGGTACATCAATAGTCTGTTTCAGTGTTCCTTACTTATCGATCCTTGGTGTCGGTAAAGCAGAATCTTACATTTCTGTCAATAGGGCAGTACCCTGCGATAAATCTCTTATCGGCCGTCGGCCTTTGAGTCATGTTTTCATACGCGTGCATGCATGAATTAAAGATCGAAATTCGGTGAATACACTATGTAGTAGCGGAGAATTTTTACTAGTCTAGTAAATGTAACTAGGGAATTTGTAATACGTCTACGCTCACATTCTATAAATTTACTTGAAAAACTTATCACGCCAGTGTCCGCAACGGAGGGTCTATTGGATCGGCTTTGGTAGACCCTACGCTCACATTCTATAAATTTACTTGAAAAACTTAGTAGGCTATAGTGTCCGGGTATAATTATATAGGTATTAAGTCCAAACAAGCTTTTAATTATTGTATAAAGGCCAAATTGATGCCAAATTCCATCACTAAGACGTCTTTTAGTTATCAGTTGTCTAAAGGTAACATTTTGACAACAGATAACTAAAAAACATCATAGTGATGGAATTTGGCGTTAATTTGGCATCCATACGATGTTAGTATCATCAATGTTTTGTGGGTAGTAGTGCATTTTGTCAGTTCAACCTCTACTCAGCGGTGTCTGGCGGAGAATTTTCTGAGAGTTTTAGTGGCACTTTAACTTTACACTTTTTAACTCAAAATCTGCCACGCAAGATGGCGCTGATTGTAAACTGAATGATGAATGCTTGTGAAATGTGAAATTTATTATAAATTTTATCACAACTAAAAGAAAAACCTTAGTTTCATGGTTTTAAACTTCCAAGAAGATCCACTATAATATTAAGCAGAATAAGAAGTGGTCACACACCTCTTTTAATTTGCGATCTCACTAGATTTAACATTGTAAATAGCAGCACTTGTGAATGTAATGAGTCTAAAGATAGAACATAAATATATTTCGGCAACGTTAAATTTTTGAAACACAAAGACTTAAAATGCTAGTAAATCTACGTAAAATAATTAAATTTGGACCATACTGTATTATCAATTTTTTATCAAATTTAGATAAAAATATGGTTTATATATTATCAGCCTATGATGTAAAATAAAGAAAAACATATAACACCCACAAGTTTGATACATGTAATTCGATAATAATATCTTTCCATATGTATGTACACTCTCTCTTGTATGTAATACGTTGTTAGTCATTATTTATAAGAAACTTTCTACAAATGGCCATGTAACCTGAAGGTAATGCCAACAAATTATTTAAATTGAATTAATTGAATGCCCTCAGTGCGCAGAGGTGAGAGGCGTTAGATATTTTGATATGAGAGGGAGCGCGTGAATCTGTGCCCCTTGGGTTGTGGGACCATTTTGCGTATACGCTCCTCTGTGTGCATATAAAAAATATTACTCTTTTCATTGCTCTGTCGGATACCCGAAGCGTTTTGATAGGGAAAGAAAAAAAAATTACAACTTTTGGTTGCAAGATGCCGCGCGGTAGCTGTTCGATTGAATTGTGCGTGCATCTAATGAATTGGTTCGATCGAGACATTGAGCAGATCGATCGCAGGTTGGTGTGAACGGGAGTTTCAAATTTGGGCACATATTTTTAAGTCATAATGACGGTGATACACATTATTGGCATTATTGGTGTCTTTATATACTTATACATATGATGTAAGGGAAAAATCAACGTACACAAGACATTTCAATTAAGTAAACATGATAATCTTTTATGCAACAACCAAATATTTTGTTTTCATCAGAGTAACTCATGATGTACAATATATATCTATATTACTTTTTCTCATACAAACATATATACATATTAAAAGAATCGTCGCTCGGTAAAGTAACAATGGTATATATCACTAGAAAAAACACCTTACGGTTCTTGGCGCGTACATCACTTAATGATGTTCAACGTATCATTTACACTTTACACAGGACAATCGATACAACAACGCTGCGCAGTGACTCGTATATTGTTATTTTTTAAAATTTCTTTTCTAAGATAAAAATTGTCATATATTCCCGTAATATACAACTGGGATCAAGAGTCTGTTCAGTAGCGTGGCCCACAAACGCTTATTTCTTTCGTCAGATTTAGTTTTGAGAAATTTCCTCAAGTAATATAAAAGTATTCTCGTGGTAGCTTCTCAAAGTGATCGTTTAACAAGATATATTATCTCGTGAGCGATTCCTTGCAGACATCAGATCTATACCTTTCAGGAATCAATGAAAGGGCTTTTATAAAATATATGAATATATACATCTGTCGTTGTTGCTATAAGTATGTGTGTGCACATGAGCATAACTTTATTTAAACAAATCTCAACATTTAACAAATAAAAGTATCCATCTCGAACGGAGTAACATTCTTTTTGTACGCAGGGCGCAAAGTGCAACAGTCGTTTTTCGACTTCGAGCCGTACTTTGCGCCATTGTCATCACTCTCCGCTCTACGGCACAATGTCATTTACCATATAAATTAACTACTTTAAAAAACAACACTGCATTGCCCTCATACAGCGACTCTTACGACCAATAAATCTTATGAAGCAAATGAAACATTGTACATTTTGTACACAACCATAACTATCGTAGTACTTATGAATTTTGGTCTATTTTCTAGAATACGAGTGACTTGATGAGCATGATTTTTATGAGCACAGACCAAAGGACGAAGGTCTTTACTTAAAACGTAATAGTGTAGTTTATTTATTCATTTTTTATTGACTTTTTTTTTTTCATTAGAATTTCTCAATCATCTTTCTTACTGTAAAACTTACAAATTTACATCAGTACTCTTAGCATAGGCAATATGTTCAAGTCTACTGTAAAATAAGATTTGCTCTAATACTTGTACATGCAATTATTCGAAAAATAAAAATTAGTTTTTAACCTAACAATCTATGAATCAGGTGGTGATAAGACCATGGCCAAATCAAATACAAGCTTATCAAAGTTCATGACTTCATCATGTGATAAATATTTTTAAATATTTTTAAACATTTTTTGAAATTAAAAGTATGTGTTTAAGATGTCTTTTGAGAGGCTCACGTAAATAACGAAAAGCAAATAATACAAAGGCCAAAGCCAAATTAAAGTCTCCTTATACAGAAATTTTTGATAGAAATCTTAAAGGTATCCCATAAGACTTCTCAGATAAGACTTTGTGATGGGCGTAAGAAATCTACAAGATATCTTGAGTTTTTCCCATAGAAACTCAAAAAATTTTTTTACAATTAATAAGATGTTTGACAGATATCTTACAGATTTCTTTGTGTTTGCCGGGCAAGTCAATCTGATTCGGTGCCGTTTATGAGCACCTTGGAAGTACAGGATAGACTTCCGCGCCACGCGATGCCATCATTCGAAACGCCACGGAAGCTTCTACGGGACCTGCGGAGCAGCAAAACTACCATTTCTCAGTATTTTTTTACTGTTCTACTTGCCATGCATACGACTCTTTCTTTTTCGTTGTTGTTCCGCTGACATAAGCCAAGTGCTGCGTCCGTATGTAAGATTAATGGTTTGTTTAAGTTTGGATGGTTTAATAAATCGTTGAATAATATATTTTTAACTTTAGCTTCTAAAACGAATTAATGATAGTAAAGGTTCCATTTTGTACCAGAAACTTTATTTAAAAAAGTTTGCGCTAGTGTTACGTATAAATCTGTGATCCTTGGTCCAAAAAGGTAAAACGATTGAAATTACAATCTGTTTTATAAAAGTTACTAACTTTGTTATTTATTTTGTTTCAATCAGCTTTACGGACTAAAATTAATTTTTTTACATTTTGATTAAAAAAATCGGTACTCCGTTGTAGCTAATTAAAAAAAAAAATTCCTCACAACTGTATACAAAATTATTTAATTTAATGAAATATTACTTCAAATCAACTTTAATTTTATTTTGTTTAACATTTTTATAAAGTGTTATAAAAAATAATATAATAAACATAGTTATAAAAAAGCAGTTTGCTTACTACAATAAAAAAGTACCGGGAATTTGGGAAATCTTATGCAGAATATAAAATGATACTGAACTGCTTGTTGGCGTATAGACTTAAAAAAAAGCTTCCGTGGCGAACACTGTTTTGTCTACCCAAGGGCGCAGTAAATGTCCAATCGTCACGAAAAACACCCCTAGTTAAGAAACACTATTTCACTACCGAACTCGAGTTATAGGCTTCACCTAATTTCCGTTCCTTACTGGGTATACGAAGGTTCGTATCAAACATAATCTTCGCACTTCATCGTACTTAGTACAGTATCGTTAGTCTATAGTAATAGTTGGGACGTCGTGACGGGCCTTTTTCACAGGCCTAGCCTTCTTGGACGATTTGATCGTCACACGGAAACACGAATGGTGGCTACTGTCCAAATTGTCACTGATCGCGGACGAATGGGCTTGCTCCAAGCGCCTCTTCCGCGATCGTGTCACTGGCCCGGATGAAAACTCCCCAACTATCTCGATCGAGCCGGAACGCTTTCGTTTTTTCGTACTGCTCGGCTCTGCTGCTCCGGTTAAAGCGATACAGGGCCCGGACGATGCATCCTCCACCACCAAATCGGCCGAGTCGGAGTACTTTCGTTTCTTCGTGCTGCTCGGCTCTGCTGCTCCGGTTAAAGCGATACAGGGCCCGGACGATGCATCCTCCACCACCAAATCGGCCGAGTCGGAGTACTTTCGTTTCTTCGTGCTGCTCGGCTCTGCTGCTCCGGTTAAAGCGATACAGGGCCCGGACGATGCATCCTCCACCACCAAATCGGCCGAGTCGGAGTACTTTCGTTTCTTCGTGCTGCTCGGCTCTGCTGCTCCGGTTAAAGCGATACAGGGCCCGGACGACGCATCCACCACCAACTCGATCGAGCCGGAGTACTTTCGTTTCTTCGTGCTGCTCGGCGAGCCGAAACGCTTTCGTTTTTTTGTACTGCTCGGCTCTGCTGCTCCGGTTAAAGCGATACAGGGCCCGGACGACACATCCACCACCAACTCGATCGAGCCGAAACGCTTTCGTTTTTTTGTACTGCTCGGCTCTGCTGCTCCGGTTAAAGCGATACAGGGCCCGGACGACACATCCACCACCAACTCGATCGAGCCGGAACGCTTTCGTTTTTTTGTACTGCTCGGCTCTGCTGCTCCGGTTAAAGCGATACAGGGCCCGGACGACGTATCCTCCACCAACTCGACCGAGCCGGAGCGTGTTCGCTTTCTTGTGGTGCATGGCTTCCCTGCAACGACACGGGACACTATACATTAGTCACATTGAAACGATAAGTATTACAAAAACACAAAACAAAATGATAATAATTATAAATAATATTTACCCATGTGGTACTCCCGGTTGCAGTTCTGGGCATGCAATGTTGCTTTGTGTCCTGGTTGGTGGTCGCTAGTCTTTTTGTGAGCCAAACCACAGAGCTTGCAGTCCAGAGGCTCGGCTCTAGTTTGTAACTTTGGGTTGAGCTTGTCCGCGCAGTTGTGAACGGTGGGGACTTTTAACAATTCCTTGCAGCGCCTCTGCTCTTTGTCCTGGAGGTCGTTCAGCCAGTAGGGGTCGGGCACTTCCTGGCAGTTAGCGTACGGGCCGAGTACCCAGGGGTGTTGCATCAGGTCGGACAAGCCCATGCGTTTGTTTGCGTCGAGACAGAGCAGGCCCTTGAGAACCCCGCGGCAGGGAGCCGAGAGCTTGTGGCACAGCTTCGGGCTGTCGAAGTTTATGTCGCGCTGGTTGATGCGGTAGGCCAAGTCACCACTTCGGGCTATTTGGGCCGGTGTCTCGCCCGAGAGCATTGCATACATGACTGCCCCGAGGCTCCACACGTCACAACGCTCGTCGTAGCCTGTGTTGCGCGATATCACCTCGGGCGCCGCGTACGGTATCGTGAAGCAGGGCGTCCGCTTTCGCTGGCAGGCGTTCTTCAACTGGGCGTATCCAAAATCGATTATCTGCTCGGAATCAAACAAATGTACCAAGTGAAAAATCCATGGCATCCACAACGACAACAATAATAATGAAAAAATCTAACAATAATAAAAAATAACAATAATAAATACCTTGACCGTGAGATCGTCACCTTGGTTCTTGAATATGACGTTTTCAGGTTTTATGTCCCCGTGGACGACGCCTTGCTCGTGCATGTACTTGACCGCGGAGGCCAGGTGCCTCATTATCTCGCTGGCTTGACTTTCCGTGCTTCTCCTTTTTTTGTTGACCGGTGCCAGTAGCTCGCCACCCGCTAGAAGCTCTGTGACTACATACACGTACGCGCTGTCTTCGTGCACGTCTATCAGTTTGACGATATTTGGGTGGCCTTGGCACGCACTCAACAGCTCCAGCTCCTGCCGATACTGGATATCGCGCTTCGACATTATTTTTACGGCGTATTCAATTTTTCTTTCGCGATCCCGACAGCGCCGGCACACCGAATAGGTCCCGTCGCCAAGTATCTCGCTATTTGTAAATTCATACTTCACGAAGAAACTTGATTCTTCGTAATGTAGATGGGCCTCAAGGGCCGAGCGCCGGGGGTTCACCAATGGCTGTGGTGACATTGGCGATCTGTTTGCCAGCAGAGGATTCATATCGTCCAGCATCGTATTTTGGATGATAATGGGTGATACGTAAGTGTATCCCTGTAGGAAAAAAGATAATATTATTTGTTATTCGTTTTGTTGTGTAATACATGAAATTGAATAACAAGTGAGGAAAACACACCCGAAAGGTATTCCGGAAGACTTTGCCGTCGTACTCGGTGATGTCGATCTTGCTGAATTCTTCTGAAAAGTTGCTTGTGTCAAGCTCGTGGATAATTTCAGGAATTTTTGGCGGTGGTACCTCGCGCCTCGCAAGCGCCTCCCAGTCGAAGCTAACGTGACTAAAGAACTTGTGTTCTTTGACCTCTGCGGCGTCCCTGGGACCGCTTCCCAGTCGCGATCGTGGATCTTTTATCAGCAAGCTTTTGATAAAGCTGATGAGGTTCCGGCTTATTAAGTCCGAATACGACGGCTCGGATTTGAGGATGCGCTGCGATACCGTTGAGGTGTTAGGTTTTTTGTTTTGTTCCGGGGAAAAGGGTGAGACCCCGGTCATGAGCTCGTAGGTGAGGATCCCGATGCCCCACCAATCCACTGCCTGTTGTTGGGTTCGCGAGCATACAGAAGATCAAGACAAGTTCGTTGTACTATAGGCCCACAGGTAAAAACGATACAGGTACTTAAGAACAATACTTACGAAATCATGGCCATCCTGCCCTTTGATAATTTCGGGCGCCATGTATTCTAGTGTACCGCAAAAGGAATATGTTCTCACATGCCCGGTACGCTCGTGCGGCAGCAATTTTTTACTGAGGCCAAAATCAGTTAGTACGATATGGCCGTCTTTATCTATCAGCACGTTCTCTAGTTTGATATCTCGGTAGATTATTCCCAGCTGAAAATAAGAACAATTACGTCACGTGTATTTTTCGATGCACCGCTCGTTAATTTTTTTTTTTGTCCCACAATGATCAGAGCATCATAATATATATGATTGGTGTCGCAAGTGTGTGAAAAGCAATCATCATACACTTACTCTGTGCAGTTGTTCTATGGCAAGGACGATCTCGCCGATGTAAAATCGCGTCTCGTCCTCATCGAACCTGCTCTCTCTGAATAGGTGCGTGAACAGTTCGCCACCGTTCACGTAGTCTGCAGAACAAAATGCAAAAGGAGATTAGGTATTTTCGTCCCCAACTTTGTGTTTTTTCCGAAGAAGATAACGATAGGAGATGAAGTTACCCAGTATGAGGTGAAGCTTTTCTTCCGACTGAAATGCATAGTGCAGTGATACAATGAATGGCATGTCCCTAACAGCTTCCAAAATCTGCCGCTCGGCCTTCGTGTGCTCGATCATTTTTTTCCTCTGAATGATCCCAGCCTTTTTCAGTACCTTCATGGCGTAGAGTTTGTTGGCGTCGACGCCCGTGCGTTTCCGCACCAAAAACACTTTGCCGTACGCTCCGGAACCTAATATTTTCAAGAGATCGAAATGATCCACGTCCACCCGATGATCGCCGTCGATTACGTTAACTGTTCAATCGAAAAGAAGAAAAAGAGGATGAATTGCTTTTGTTTTCTCTTTCTCTTACGTTTATACAATAAATTGTAAATTGTATCAATCAGTGGGGATCGATGATATGCACGACGCTTGAAATTTAACCGTAAGATCGGTAAAAAACAAAAAAACAAAATTTTGAAGTCGGAGTATCGGTACTATACCTCGCGTTATCGCAATTACAGCAAATAGAAAACGCTTTGATAGAAATCTGTATCCATACGGTTCCTTATCACGATAAAACGACTTATAAAATTCGAGGATTCCCGCAACATCACCAGAAGAAGGGAATAACGACGGCGCGGTGTACAATAACAATCCACGTGCACCCCCTACCTCCTTTGGGATGATTTTGGGTTTTCCGCGAATATTAATAGTCGAGAGGGCACAGCGATCCGCGTGTGCCCGCGATAACGAGGTGACAGGGTTGAAGGGGGTGGGGGGAGAATGACACGTGCTACGCGCATCAAACGGGAAAACTCGAGCGAGGCCGACATCGGCGCTAGGCGATGGGTATATAGGTATAATTTAATACGGTGCGCGGAGAGGACGCGGCTGGAAGAGCGCGCGTGCAACGTGACCCCGATTTTTTTCGCAAAAAAGTTTTCCATCTCCTTCGATGTACATAACCACATGCGCACTTTTGGTTGTTGCAGGAGCACGGGGAGAGAGATCGGTATCAAACCATGCAAATAAAATTACCCCTCGAATCGCGAGTCGAATCGTTTTCCAACTCGAGAATTTTTTCCGCGAGTCTGCTAATATGTGCATGCGATTAATTTTGAAGGGGCTCCCGAATAAATGGATGATCCAACGCGCAGTGTTTTCGTATCACCGTAAAAATTAAAAAAAAAAACAAACAAAAACAAAAAGCGCGTAATGGCATGTCGCAGGGGATAACTTTTTTCCGCTTGATTCGATGATGAGCGGAATATCTCGTGTTCTCCTGGAATTGCCATCGGTATAAAACACGCACCGCCCAGAATTCTTCACAGCCCTGGAGTCGGGAGAGATGCGTCCACAGGCAAAAAATAACCCGAGGAGGCTCTTGCAGTGTGCGTGTGTAGTACGTGCGTAAGTTGGTGTATCCCCAAATGGAGAGTGAACGGGGTAACTCTGGCACGTTGGATTGTAAAAAAAGCAATGTGCAGGAAAGGATGCCCTGAGAATTAAAAAAAAACGGTGAAGCTGTGGGGTGGATAAATCACTATTTTTTTGAACGTACAAAGTGCGACATTGGTTGTACTCTCGAAGCACGGTCGAAGGTGTCGTCGATGATTTTATCAAGAGTATCGGTATATGTGCATTTAAGTGTACACCCATACATGCGATACAAGTTATAACATATTCAAACTCTGCGGAATCGAGGAGGAAACACGCGTCATAACGTAACAAGTATATCGGCGCACGCAACGGGCTCTCTTCTTTCGTTTGCGACTGTTTGTGAAAGTTATCGTGTATTCAATCGTGTGTATACATCGTACACCAGCCAATCGTACAATTTCGACTTGCACAATCCGTGAGCAAGTACACAGACATTTATAACAAGCGCTCGGGTTTTCGCTTCGATATATACATATATATCGCATCGAGAGCCGCGAAAAATAATCTTTTTAATCTGTGTGCGGGTTTTTTTCTTCTTCGTTGTTTTTCAACTTGACCCTCACAAATTTCGTTTATTTATTTTTTTTTTATTTTTTTATTTTCCAGGAAATAAAATCAAGTTGACCTTTACGCCGTAACACTTTGATGTACAGTTGAAATGTTTTCGGGATCCATCGATGCAAGTACATCTACATGTTGTGGGTGGTAATTACTTTGAGCCACCCCAAACGTCAATGTAACGACAAAAATGAAAACAATAAAGACAACATAAGCTATACAAGTTACGGTATTTGAGATTAAAAAGCATCACTTTGCGAAAGCTCGATCGTGACCCTCTTTTACCTGTGGGTAGCAGGGCGTAGGTCGTAGTACACGAGAGAAATAGGTATGTAGGTAATAGAGTGGGAAGGAAGAAGCCTGGGGGGCGTGATGGGCCGGGTGTCGGGTAGCCACCACCCAAGTGCGCGACGCGCACACAAAGTTACAAGCAAGCCGAACCCTTTGTATAGTTCATACAACATCCAAGATATACTATCTGCTACTACGGCGGTGGGTGGCGGCGCACGTGTCATGCTCCCTCCATGCCCCGGTCCTGACCATACGACGACTGGTACTACTGAAGCGGTACCTACTCGTAACTTTCTTTGCTCCTATATATCACAGTGCGTTGATAATCGCCACCTATGGGGTGTTTTGCACGTACGTTTATTCAATCCATCCTTAGGTGGACAAGTACAATATATGTATACATATGAAAAGGGTGGAGGGTTATGAACATTGTTCATACATACTATACCCTGCTTGCGTGCATGCACCGATATGCTACAGCTAACATTGTAAGTGTACTTGTTAGTGGTGGTGGTGGTGGTGTTAAAGCGGCAACAGTAGCAGCAGCTCTTGTAGCATAGGCGAGCGAGCTCTATATATACATATAGCGCCAGAGAATCCGTGTCAAGGTGGTGCGCCGGAGGTAGCGGCGACTGCAGGTGACCCACTTCCCCCCCCCCCCGACGCTCGCACACTTTGGTACATATGATCAGAGAAAGACACACGCGACGTCTATACGCGCGCGCGCACGTGTGTGTACCCACGTAGCTATGCATGTATACACAAGCGGAGAGTGAACTCGGTGAACGAGCGAGCGAGAGAAAAGAGAACTCCAACACACGCGCTCATCGTTAGCGCAGTACTTATACTTCTTTGCGCTGCACCTTGTTGTATGACAATTTTTTTTTTTTTTTTCTCAAATAACACCATTGTCAAACTAAACGTTAAGTACACCAACAATACTTTATATGATGCTTCCTCGATGGCACATGGGAATGTCTATATTTTTACATCAAGAAGTACAGCAAATGTTTACTATACAGGAAAATTCTACTCGATCACGATGAGTGCATTGTTACATGATATATGTATCTCGAGTAACGACGAGCCGTCTGTCGGTCACTTATTGCAAATGTGCCTCATATGTTGTTATACATGCATATACAACGAATTACGCGAAAGCTCGTGCTGTCATTATTACACGAAGGTCGAAAGCTCACCGGCACGTGCAGTCGGCGGATCGTGTCCTTCCCTACCTCCCTCCCACAATCCTTATAATATATATACACCCAAGTTTGCGCCTTTTCTGTACCCCTTGATGCTTACTCTTGTTTACTTCCGTATATGAGCAAGGATTTTATTTTTTCTATTTTTCTTTTTTCTTTTTTTTTTTTTTTTTGACGTTGTTACCTTCAATTTTATAGTATTTACCTCATTGTCTACGAACAGTCCTCGAAAACAATGGCCCAATGTACCTATGTATATGTACCGATACACGAATTTGTCGAATGTATAAATATATAGTACACCGAGAGAGAAAAAAGGGGTCACACACGCTCAGTTGATTATTCTCGTAATGGACATCATCGTCGCGGTTGATTCGTATGGGAAAAACCCCTCGAAACAACGACGAGTATTTGAAAAAAAAAAAAAAAAAAAAAAAAAAAAAAAAAAAAAAAAAAAAAAAAAAAAAAAAAAAAAAAAAAAGTACTCAGAGAAATATACGTATTGATAACAGTAGTACCCAACGTACTCTCGCTTACTCTAATTGTCCCGCCACACGGGGATACTAATAATAATAATTTGTGTCGGATCGATCATTACACAGGCACCCATTTACACACGCGTTAATAAAACGCGAGTAAGTATGCATGTCATTAATTAAATTGACGAACGAGCAGAGGTGGGGCGCGTGGCATCGGTCGGTTAAACTCTTTTTCATCTACATATAGTAGATACAGGGCTGGGCTGACCTTCGTACGGATACATCCATAGCGTACGTGTCTTACCCTAACTCGACCTCATCTACTGAAAACGCTCTCGTACGCAATAGCGCGGGCTCCGTTGCTTTTATTTCGTTTGTAGGTATACGTTTGATTTTCATTTTGTAAGTATACTTAATTTCTCCCCTTTCCCCGAAGATTTTCGAAATTGAAGAGAAAAAAAAAACTAAAGCAACTGCAAGCCGCAATTCAGCGATTTAATTCGTCCCTGTTGCGTCCGACGCACGCGTGCCGTCTCTCCCCCTTTATTTTTTTTTTTGTTTTACCACAGTTGCTGGCAGGACTGTATACAGACACACATATATACCCAGAGCGACGTGGCAGCGACGGCGAAAAGGTTGAGCAGTAGGTACTCATTTTGCTCAAGAGCACTTTAAAGATCACTCGAAAGAGTCTCTCTCTCTCTCTCTCTCTCTCTCTCTCTATACATATATAATTTATAATAGGTTTTTGTTGTTTCGAATTGCGCAATTTTCCGGGGCACTCGAGCGCGTACACCCGTACAGCTAAAACAGTTCGGTTATTGTCACGCGCTCTCTCTCTGTTTACTACACACTCCGTTAAATGTTTTTTTTTTTTTTTTTTTTCTATAAACGAAATTGTGTTTCCGAAAAGTTGTAAGCTCATCGAGTCTCAGCTGCGACAATCTTATCCTCTTAAAGCAAACATCACTGCTTGATGGTACCGATCGTTGTACTACATGGAGCAAACGATGATTTGTGTACAATTTGAATGGTTGCGCACACATAACGATGTAAGTATATATATAAAAGAGCAAGCTACAGCCGCAAGCTGCACCGATGATTACACAAGAGAGCTTTTGCGCGCCACCTATTATATATCATGCTCTCGTGTATGCCGTGTTACGGAATGTAGAGCACGAGCCCTCCTCTCTCCTTACTCTCTCTCTCTCCCACCTTTTTTTTCCATTACACAGACCTCATACTATAGACGGACGCTAAGTAGAGTCCATATACGTATACACACACCTATACACTGCACATACCACGCTATACAGTATACCTATAGGTGCACGAGTG